CAGCATCAATCGAAGCATCAACGATTTTTCAAATTGAGCACTATATTGTTTGGTTTTGTTGAATCCAGCTTTTTTCTTGAATTCAATCATATAACACAAGTTGTAATTCGTTTCCTAATTTGCCTACCATCTGAAATTTAATCGCCGGAAACTAATCTCACGATTTAATTTTCATATATGAGATGAATCACAAAGTAAATAAGTTCTTGTGTGGTATTACTTACCGAGCAAGGAAATGCTTCGTTTATCTGCCATCACTGTCACTGGTAAAAATGATACTAAGATTTGAGAGATGAATAATTACAGCTATTAATATTGACAATGATGAATATTATCTATGGCAATCATAGATTGCGGAATTGAATAGATAATTTAACAAACACTTATCGTACTAGCTAGGAAGGAAAAAATTGAAGGCTATTAGATGATCGTCTTTTCACGCTAAACGATTATGTCGATTTATTTCCAATGATATCTTGTTTAATAGAATTCAATAATATTAACAATCAACTACCTTTCAATGAAACAAAAACATTGACGACCGATCAGTTCCCAACAATACCTTTCCAATCGGAGACTTCCGAATACATGATTTTTGGCAACGAACTGTTTACCTAATTCTAGTTGTTATGGAACAAACATGTACAGGCTGTTTTAAAGTTTGCCAGAAATTTTTGAAAATTATTGACTGAAGGTTACCAGCTGAACACGAGCGTTAGCATTGGGGTATTTATTTGTTAAATGTACGTTGTACCATAATGATGTCGTCGATTAACAATTTTTGTTCCTTGCTGTAAATAATTTTACCTACTACCAATATGTTATGTGAAACATTACGGCACTGATTTTTGTATCGTGATGAGATACCTTACCGCACTTGTTACCGCACTAGTGCGGTAAAGTGTAAAAAATATAATTTCAAAATTTCATTCCTACTCAAAAAAAAAAGAAATAAGAACCAATTCATCATGAATATAGTAGGTACTAAAGTTGCGATAGCTGCATTCGCTGCAATTTCTATATCGGAATCTAAACCTTCCCGATCCGAATTCATGCCGATGAATATTTTTTTTCGAATTGAAATTAACGCGTCAAAGTTGACAGTTCGCCGAATGAGTGACAACCGAGAACACAATAACCATATGCCCAACCCTTGCAACGCTTGCTTGTTACATATTCCTAATGAATCGTCAGTACAAGAAATATTGAATATTTTTGATTAAATAATTAGCTTTTTGGTAGTAGGTAAAATAATCGATATAACGATAATCGATGGGTTATTACAGTCGGCCTTCGGCCTCGTTTGACAAATTTCCCATCTCATATCGTAATATGAGTCTTTACGATACTCGTATCGTAAATATCTATTACGAGTAAGTAATCTACATGTTGTAATATTTTTTCTTCAATATTTTATAAACATTACTGACTTGCAGGTATATCACTGATGATGGCTTATTAGCCGAAAGCGCTTTGCGATTTTATAATCAAATTTTACACGAAATACAAAATGTCTTCATTTGATTGATTACGTGTATGGAGCTATTACAAATCTTCAACTTATTGAATGAACTACTATTCAACATAAAAAATATAAAAATATGAGAAGTGCAGGTATATACAAGTTGTGAGCTGCACTAGTTGCAGTCTAGATCTGCTCAATGAGGTAGGAATCCAACTACATAGATTTTTTATTTCATTTTAGATACTGAAGATTGGCAAAGAAATTTTCGATGTAATCAAAAATGTTTACATAGTACCCACACATTTCATTTCCATATCATTCGAGGACAAACAACGCTCCCAGTGACCTCAACAATGATCAATCAATATATTAACTATTATATCGGGAGTTTGCAAATTGGGTACCTATCTGTTATGTTTGGTGGGTTCTTTTCTATTACACTCTGATTTCTTGATGGATTAATATCAATAAACATCAATAGACTTCCTTACATACGTTGAATTCAGAATGTGAACTGAATACGAGCACATGATACATGCATGGATCATAAATATTTCAGATTACTAGATATTAGATATTATACGCAATAGATAGGCATCAATGAATTGAACCCATTTACTAAATTTTCTAGTAGTACACTATAATCACATTCATAATGAGAATTCATATTATTATTGTGGTAGGTAGTACATTTTCCTTAAGGTGAAACTGCACATCAATTGCAATCCAGTTAAATTATTTATTCATTTATTATTTATTTACGAGCATAAGATCATTAAATTGTACATCTAGAAGTACTGAATATAAAAATAGAAAATATAATACAGTAAACATTTTACATAAAATGTCAAACAAATAATATCAATATCACAATATTACAAGAACTATCTAAATATCAGAACGTCTCATGCAAAACTTGAATTGTCTGAGTCTCGCAGAGAAGTCTAAGGTGAGACATTGAGTATTAGCAAGCTTAGATACTCTAGGGATGAAAGAATTATTCGCTGCGTTGGATTTGTAAAAGGGAATGTGGAATAAATTGTTCAAGCGAGTCTGTCCGTTACAATCGAGTCTGTTTGGATGGGTCATGGAAGCAAATATTCTCAATAAGTTCGGGAAATGTATGGATTGAAATAATGATATTATATATAGCATCAAAAGGTCTCTTACATTGCGAAGGGAGCAAAAACTTAATAACTTAATATTCAACTCCTTTTCGAGAACCTTGTACTTATAACCAGCCTGATTTTTTTTAAAGCTATATAACGTGAGAAGGTATGTTGGACACTCTCTATTTTCTGTATATGAATATTATATTGGGAGACCATATGCAAGCTGCTTAACGTGCAATAAAGTAATTTAATGGGGTTTATCGTGGTGAAGTCTTTTGAACATATTTTGATGAATCCGAGCATTTTGAGTGCTTTAGACGTGATGTTAGAAATATGAAGGCTATAGTTGAGGTCGGAATTAGAAGGATTCCCAGATCCTTGAAGTTGTGTACTGTTTGAACAGAGGTATCGTTGATTTTATATGGGTGAGATATTTGGTTTCTGGAGCGGATATTTTGAAGCATTTAGTAGCGTTCAAATCCATATAATTTTCGGTGCACCAATCAATTAAGTTGGTCAGGTCGGATTGGAGATTCAGACAGTCGGTGTCGTTTGTGATGATGGAATAAAGCTTCAGATCAGCGAATAAGAGGAACTTCGAGTAAAGAAATGAGTTCTGAATTGGATTACTTCAGAGAGTTTCTCATTGCTAATCTATTTCATTTCAAGCTAGTTCACTGTTCTACCCTCCGAAACCAGTCTCGAGGCACCATGATGGGCATTTCAGCATCAGTCTTCGTTGATCTTTCATGGTCCGATAAACCAGACATACTGGGATTCACAATTTTTATTCTATTCTCCGACGCAGCCAGAACCCGATATGTCTGATATATTGGATTTTGCCTTCGACCACTTCTTGTATGAGTAACATAGGCATCTGAATTACACAGATCATTGCCCAGAGGGTATAATTTCAACCCCCCATTGGAAAATTTTCTGGCGACGCCAATGTCGAAAGCGTATAGCATATCAAAAATATTATTTTCTAATTTCGACATGTAATATGACACTTATCAAAACTGAAAGACCTTTTTAAAAGTCCTACTTCACGTAACCAGTTGCGTAAAGTAAAATGTTTCATAACTGGTAATGTAATGTTCATTGTGTCATCCAAAATCCTGTTGTCAAACGCAATATACTGTCCTATGCAAACTGACTAGCGAAATATTGTACCCACAAAATTCTCACTACAGTTCATTGAAATTATCAATCTGATCAATTCGGGGAACATTTTTCTCTCCAAAATTAGGAGAAATATTGTTCGCAAAACGAAAGGATTGTTATGAAACGCAATTTTGAATAACTGTGATTTTGCGATGATTCCGTTTCCTAACCGGTTAGATGAATTTAAGATTATGAATGATTTGTGAAGCAATTTCATGTTCAAAGTTCAAATCTATTTCACTCCAAAAATTGTGCATTTTACCACAGTTGAAATAGAATTTTTTTTAATTAAAATATTTCACAATCTTCAATATCTGTGGTGAAATCGCAAAAATAATTGATAACGCCAAAGTGAAGACTGAGAATACAATAAGCCGACTCAAGTACACTTTTGAAAACATTTGTTGAATTTTTATTACTTTTTTTAGTTCAACATCAAACCATTTCGAAAATAACAATAATAATAACAATAACAAGTGAGGACTGAGAATACAATAAGCCGACTCAAGTACACTCTTGAAAACATTTGTTGAATTTTGTTTACTTTTTTTGAGTTCAACATCAAACCATTTCGAAAATAACAATAACAATAACAAAAAAATCTTTCAAGAGGATGTAGCTCCTTTGGGCGTAATTTTTTTAACGATCTTCAATCTAAGTTCCTATTTATTTTTGGTCGATGAATCTACTGCCAAATCATTGCATATATCCATTCAAAATTCAATATTCTTTGAGGCAATATACGAAAGAATATAGTATTCTACTATCATTAGTAACTGGAGAAATGGACGTTTGAAATCTTTCCCCATCAGAAGGGTGCGGAGGTGAACGCACGATTTTACATCCACCCGAATCGGTCCATATTCGGAATTTAAGTCGGCATTTTAGACCATAGGGAAGTTTTTGGCCTCGGCGATGAATGCCATATATTGGCGATAAATTTGAATAACTGATTTTTCACATGACTTGCAAACTGAAAATATTTTTTAAATTATCAAATAGCTGTAAGCTATAGGTGAAGGTACAGGAAACTGTTTTTTATTCTGTCAAGAATGGATATTGGAACAAGTTATACATCATCAATTCTTCGAATTTCTAAAGTGACTTGCAGTGATGACTTGCTATAATTGATCAAACATGACTTTTGAATGCTTATGATAGGTAGTAACTGGAAATATTCTATTAATATAATAAGCAATCTTTGTGTTCATTAACAAATATTTGATTATAATGAGTGAATCGGGGTTTGTTTCACTTACTAGGGAAATCCACGAATCTGGAGCACATTTCTGTTAGGACTCCAAAACCATCGGCACATTCCTTACCGTTCATATACGAATTGACGAGGCGGATATTACGGACCACTCTCCTATCATTCTGAATATAATTAATGCATGGTAAACACAAATACAATCCAAGAAAAGAAAACTAAAACACTAAAATACTTACTTTTTGACCGGGAGCCCACAATGTGTTTTTTATGTCTCATTTGTTCATACTCAGCAATATAAGAACCCCTCAAATCCCACCTTTCACTACACGGATAGGGGGTCGCCGAATAAAAATCGTGGACCAAAAAGTGGGGGCAGCGTGGGTTAAGTTGTATTAAAAACCCGAAGTCTCTCATCATTACTTACCGTTCGGCGTAAGTCGCAAGTTACTGTAATTGAAAGGTTATGTATGTCAGACCGAATTTCCGAACGTGTAGGGTGGATACGATGCGCAATGGCCCTGTATATTGCTGTAAACAATTTTTGGTAAAAAAAATAAATTGTTCACGTTCGGAATTTTGTTAATTCAACTTATTCACAAAAACTCAATCCAATATGATTGCCGAACATTTAGGTTGGATCGGGGGCCAAGCACCCCCGCGTACTCTTGTCTTCAGGGTGTAGACTGGGGTTCGATTTTCGAAAATTGGCTGAATCTAAAATTAGGTGGAACGAGATGTTGGCCCAACGACATACTTGAATGTGAAATGATTGTTGATAATTCTGTTTTATTGAATCTGAGAAAATGTATTTGACAACATCTTTCGGGTATGTTCAGAGACGGTGGGTGAATCGAAAATTGGGTGAATCGAAAATTGGGTAAATCGAAAATTGGGCGAATCGAAATTGGGCGAATCGAAAATTGGGTCAAACGAGACGTTCCCGTAGACTGTAGAGTATGCGTTCATCATACATGAATATTCGGCATTGATCTAGGCATTGATTTTATATTATTATGAAATAAAATGGAAGTATAAAAAATATATGCTTGATAAATCAATTGTTTATTAAACCTTCGTTTTCTTCTTCTTAACAATATCATTTGTTTTAACGTTCGGCGATGGTGTTTTATGATATATACTCGGATATATATATAGTTGTCATTTTGTAATCTCCAAATTGTAATGATTCGAAACACCGGGATAAAAAAAACCTTGGTCCTCGACAAAAAACGTCCCAAGCCATAGCGAAAACAAAGAACCAAATGAAATGATTCATCAGATACTACAAGGTGACACTAATACTTTTATTTTCCAACTTCAACTTAAACTACAGCGATTGTTAACTCTTTTTTTCAAAGTACATTGTATACTTTTGAATTTTTTTCTGATAGAGTTTTTCTCTGAATACAATCAATACTAATATTATGAAGGATAAAGATTTGTTTGTTTGTCAGTTTGTTTGTATTGAATAGGCTCCGAAACTACTGGACGGTTTGAAAAATTATTTCACCATTAGAAGCCGACATTATCCCTGATGAACATTGGCTACTTTTTACCGTGTGAAAATGCTTCATTCCTACAGGAAAACGGGTAGTAAGAATTGTCCTTCCGTACTTGATCTTTTCCACATAACTTCTAAACGGCTGAACCGATAGGGTTACAATGTATATGGGTATTTCGATGGTTTCCTGGATGACTTAAAAATACAATTGGACGCGGTAGGTGGCGCTGCTGTCGGTATGTCAACTACTAATAAACGGCTTGACCGATTGGGTTAAAATTTTTAATACGTAAAACAACAAAAAACGTGCAAAAGATACTGAGAGAATGAAAATAGGTGTGAGGATAAAATAGTAGCTATAGGCAAGCACAAAAAATTGAAAAAAATAACAAAAAATAGCGCAGAAAGACTGCAATGAATGTCTTATTTTTTTCAAATGGGTACAACAGCTTGGCCGGACAGCTAGTGATGTATGAAAAGTTGACTTTCGCGCAAAATTAGTTGAAAAAAACGTTTGTTCCGTCAACAAGAAATTGATCTTCTCATGAAATAACTGTTCTATTGGTCGTGGCCGAGTTTGTCTATGCGCTGAAATTCGCTAGATAGTCGTTCCCGATGCAGAGGTACTGTCGGTTCGAATCCGGCTATCGGCTGAGCATTTTTCTTTAAAATGTGTGATTCATGGTTGTAATCCTGGCAGCACCTCGATGCCCTAGAAGTGGTTCGGATTCCACTATAAGCTGTAGGTCCCCTTCTTCCTAACCCCGCACAAGTTTCGACTTCTGGGGAGTTGGTTCCCAACTTTGAAGTAGCGATGTACAAATTTTACAAAAATTGAGTCGAAGAATATTGAGTGCGTTCCTTATAAAAAATACATTATAATGTTAGGAAAATGATTTTTTGAAAACACATGACTATCTTAGGAAACAACAAACCAGAAAAAGTATAATGAATGATCCATTTCTTGACGATGGACATTTTTTTCAACTAATTTTGAGCGAAAGTCAACTTCTCATACATCATTGTACTCAGGAAAAAATATCTATCAGGAAAAAAATTTTAAAATATACAATGTCCTTTGAAAACCAAGTTTACAATTGCTGTAGTGAAAGTTGTAATTTGAAAAAGAAATGATGTGTCACCTTATAGTATCTGATCAATAATTTAATTTGCTTTTTTGTATTTCAAAATCGGATATTAATAGCGGCGCTTCGAGAGGCGTTCTTTGTCAGTCAGCCTGTATACGGCTGTGTGAACAAATGTGACACAAAAACACGTTGTGGGCTCCCGGTATATTATGAATGAAATTCGAAACTCGAGTCGAGAACATAGATTACTAGTAGTTTCTTCACAATTGGAAATTAGGGTTTAAACTCCATACACCATACTATAATACAATCACATTGCAGCGATGGACAAATACGAGGGAAGATTTGGTCCGTATTTTGATTTTAAAACAGTTTCTAGCAATCAATGTTGAAATATTGCAAGACATGGAATCGCTCACACCCACAAACAAAAATTACTAAGATGTTAACAAAAGATGAACGGTTATTCCTATGGAATTACATTTTTGTGTCTTTTTTTTTATTTTTTCACCCCACTCTGAAAAAACAATACACTCGAAATTCGAACAAAGTTTTCCAAAGGGACACTCCCAAACGAACTCAAATATTTCAATTAGGACCCTCATCATATTTTTCCTTTTCAGAAAAAAATCTATTTTAGATCATGAAAAGTGAGGGCGGAAAATATTTGTTTTCAATGCAGTATTGCACGTTATACAGGGTGTCCCTAGACCAGTGGGACAGTTGAATATCTCCTGAACCAATAGGAATTTTCAAAGTATTATAATTTCACATCATGTCGCATTAGGAGTGCTGACTTGAGGAATGACTATATTCTCTACGAGGGGCGCAAGAAAGGCTCACAAAATCGAACATCAATTTTTTCGAATGGAACACCCTGTATTTCATTGCATTTTCATATTCTCCTTGAAGAGCTGAATTCAACGACCTAGCACACTTGGGGTCTAGCGGGAATGATTTTCGAGATATAGGGTGTGGAAAATCGAGATTTTTCATTTTTGGGAATTTTTTGTGTCAAAACTATTCATTATTGGTCAAAACGGCTTACATGTCCATATCTTAACTTTTGATTTACTATTTACTCGTATTTAATTGAAACAAATACAGGGTGGTGTAGAATTCTGACTGAAACTGGGAATTCTACACCACCCTGTATTTGTTTCAATTAAATACGAGTAAATAGTAAATCAAAAGTTGAGATATGGACATGTAAGCCGTTTTGACTAATAATGAATAGTTTTGACACAAAAAATTCCCAAAAATGAAAAATATCGATTTTCCACACCCTATATCTTGAAAATCATTCCCGCTAGACCCCAAGTGTGCTAGGTCGTTGAATTCAGCTCATCAAGGAGAATACGGAAATGCAATGAAAAACAGGGTGTTCCATTTGAAGAAATTGATGTTCGATTTTGTGAGCCTTTTTTGCGCCCCTCGTATAAAATATAGTCATTCCTGAAGTTAGCACTCATAATGCGATATGATGTGAAATCATAATATTTTGAAAATTCCTATTGGTTCAGGAGATATTCAACTGTCCCACTGGTCTAGGGACACCCTGTATATTCTCCTGTTAGTAGGAATACCAAACAACAATTATTTGTTCTTGTTGATTCCATTACCGAAGCGTATAATATATCATTTTTAAAGAATATGAATGATTTGTCATGCAATTTCATGTTCAAATATATTCACTCCAAAATTGTGCATTTCATCATATATTTGAAGTATAATCCAATTATATCAGATAAAAATATCCTCTTACCTAGGAAAAATTCCCCTGAAGGGAAGATTCGGCATAGTTCTAGTGTTCAATAATAATATATCAAAAATCTGAACTCGTAGATGCTATGCTACTGCCGCCATCTTGGAAAATGGCGACATATTTTTAGTTTTTGAGCAATATATCATTATTGGTTGCGAATAGGTATCGGAAAATGTTTCCATAAAAGTTGTAGGGATTCTCATTCGTGCGCTTCGCAAGATAAAATAATCTCATGAGGCTATTTTTATCATATCTGTAACGGATAATGAGCTACATGGTGATCGAGGAGTAATTTTTTCGTTCCGAGTAATCACGGAATAAACATCATCAACTCAGGATTCGATTTCATAACTTGGTTATATCATTTGTATAATTGAACTGATAAATGAAAATAATCTACTCATGAAACCCCCTTCAGAAATCTATTACTCATCAGCATTAATGTTTTCGAGTTCGGTATCAAATTAAGGTGAATTTCCACATGATTTTTCTACTCAGTTACTACATTGCTAAGTACAAAAGACTTAATATTTTACACTCACAAGACTCACAAGACTCACAAGATGTGTTAGCCTGCATGAAAACAAATGAAGAAGTTTTTGTGTTGCTGGAGGATGGTTTGTGGGTACTGAGTGTAATGAATTTCCTACAAGGTTCCAACCCCGTTTCAAAAGTAATTGCTGACACAAATATAAGGAGTGAAAATACACTAAGCCGATCTACACAGTACACTCTTTAAAAAAATTTTCAAATGTTAACTTTTTT